TGAAGCTGTTTATCCTCAGATCAAAGAACTCCCTTTAATAATTCTTGTAAGTTTGGTTTGACTTTTACATATTCCCTTAATTTCTGTTTATCTGTAAATGACCTAATTTCACCATCAAATTTGAACGAGAGTTTTGCAGGATATATTATTCTTGGTTGACAATTTTTTCCTTTAAAGATTTTATATATGTCATCCCATTGCCTTCTTGCCTGCATTGTTTCTGCCAAATAATCTGAGCTGAATCTTATTGTTTCTCCTCTGTATGTGACTTCTTGGTTTTCACGAGCTGCTCTCAGGATTCTTTGTCTTTGGTTTTGGCGAGTGTGAATATGATATGCCTTGGTGATTTTCTTTTGCGGTTTCTTCTATATGGGGTTCTTGAGCTTCTTGGATGGCCAGCTTTTCATCTTTCATGATATTGGGGAAGTTTTCTGTCTGCATTTCCTCAGTGATTCTCTCTGTGTTTTGTTTTCTCCCTCTGTTCTGGAATTCCAATCACTCGCAAATTTTTGCTTTTGATTGTGTCCCACATAACTCTCAGGGTCTCTTCATTTTTCTTTGTTCTTTTTTCTGAGTTTTCCTCAAACAGAGTTTTATCCAAGTGTTTGTCTTCAATTCCACTTATCCTGTCTTCCATCATTTCATATCTGCTTCTCAGCCCTTCTATGACACTGTCCATTTCTGAAATCGTGTTGTTTATCTTTTGGATTTCTAATTGTTGTCTTTGTTTAATTTCTAGTTGTGAATTTATTTTGGTATTTTGTTCCTGCATTGTTTTCCTGAATTCTTCCAATTTTTTTGTTTGTATTTTCCATAAATTTGTCTATTTTTTCCTCATGTTTGTCAGCTTTTTGCCTCAGTTCTTGGAGAATTCTGAGTATTGGAGATTTGAATTCCCTATCAGGTAGTTCTACTGCATTTTCTTCCACAGGAGAGTCATCTGGTGTTTTATTTTGAACGCCTACTGAAACCATCCTATCCTGTTTTTATAAATGTTTTGATATTGTCTGCTGTTTTCGGGGCATTCAGTAGTTATTTTTCTCGTTTATTGATTGTAGATTTGTTTGTTTCGTACCTTTTTAAAAAAAAAAAGTTGACTATGAGCAGGTGGACTGTGTGTTCTTTGTTGTTTGCTCGTCTGTGCACACAATACTTTTCGCCTCCTTCTCTAACTGGCAGGGTCAGTCACTCAGATATGGTACGGCAGCGCAGGTCTAGCTGAAGAGGAGTTACTGGGACGGGTTGTTTGTGGCACTTATATCGCCACCAAAGTGGGTCGGTAATCAGTACAGGGAAGGTTCCAGTAGGCTGTGCCTGTGCTGCTTGGTGGTGTGATGTCAAGCACATGATGCAGGTAGGCAGGATGCAGCGGGGAGATTGTTATGTGTGGAGCTAAGATGGATATGGGAGAGAGGGGAGAGGAACAGGAGCGAAAAACTTAGAAACAAACAGAAAAATGCTAGGGGAGCTTGCCGTTGGCGTGGAGAGGTGAGAGACTATGAAATGGAGAAAAACAGAAAGGGAAAGAGGAAGAAAAGAAAAGAATGAATAAATAAAAATCAGAAAGGTTAAAGAACCACAAAGTTCCCAGGGATCCCACCAATGCAGCTATGACGTCTGGGGAAGTCGCTCTGAGTTGTTGCAATACAGCCTGGCTAGAAGGTGTAGAGGTATACAATGCCAGGTATTCAGGGAACAGAAAGAGAAGGAAGATATAGATAGATGAGAAATTGAGCAATGAAGAAAGATAAAAGGAGGGAAAAGAAAACAAAACAAATTAATAATAAAAAAAAGAACAAGAAACGCCCCCAAAAAAACAGAAAAAAAAAAAAAGAAATGCCCTCAGGTATCCCTCTGCACATCTGTGGAAGCCGAAGGGGAGTCTCCTTGTCACGCAGCTCCGCCTGGCCAGAAAGGGCTCCCGACTCAAGAAAAGGAAAAGAAAACAATTCAAAACAAACAAATGAACAAAAGCCCCGGGATCCCACCAAGTGCGGTAGCCCAGACTGGGAAGCAGCTCCACACTCGAATGGAGCTCTGCAGCCCCTCAGGAGGAAGCAAAGATGGCACACGGAGCCAGGTACTCGAGCGAAAGGAGGGGGAGGTGGCAAGAGGCAAGTAAGAAAAGAAGCAGAAAAAAAAGCAACACTAGCAGCCAACAAATGGCCCTCAGAGAACCAGCTAGTGTGGGCTGGTGTTTCTGGACAAGAGACTGTGTCCGCGGGAAGCAGAGGGGGCCGAGTGTGGGTGAAGAAGGGTAGACAGTGGGAAAGTATATATCACAAATTACTGGTGCTCTGCAGCCCCTCAGGAAGAGGCAAAGATGGCGCACGGAGCAAGGTACTCAAGTGAAAAGAGGGGTAGGTGGCGAGAGGCAAGGAAGAAATCAAAAGAAATGGAAAAAAGCAACACCAACAGCCAACAAATGGCACTCAGCCACCCATTTGGGTGTGTGGAATCCAAGCAGCCAGTGTTTCCTGGTCAAGAGATTGTGGTCGCGGGAAGCAGAGGAGGCCGAGTCAGGGTGAAGAGGGGTGGGGGGGTGAGAAAGCGTATATTGCAAATTACGGGTTGTTTTGTTTCCTGCTGGATGCTCTGTGAAGCTGCTTTCTTGTATCCCGTTTGCTGGTCTCCGATAGGAGTCCAAGATGGCGGATCCACGCTGCGTTAGCTAGTAGGGGACCTCTGCATGAATCTTCCCTCGCTCTCCGTTCTCTGTCAGTTTTCTCCATTTGGTGCTTGGCTGAGTTCTTCATTTCTTCATTTGATGTTTTAGGGTTTTAGGATTGTTGTATTCTCTGTTCAGCTTAGTTTTTTGGGTCTTTGCTGTGGAGGGACAGCGTGGTGCTTCTGCCTAGAGTGCCATTTTGCCGGAACTCCCTAAATTTTAGATTTTTATCTAATTTTAATTAATTGAATTTTAAATAGTTATCCACTGTTCAGTGCAGATCTGGCTCATTCTTGTAAGTACGCATTTATTTAAATCACTATTTGCCTCTTCTTAAAAACCTATATAGTCAGAGATTGCGTGTATTTCTTGTAGCCT